AGTGCTTCATCCTCCACAACCTGCCCCTCGGGGTCTTGTCGCGTCGCACCTTTTGCCTACAGGTGGATTGTCGTGGATTATTGGAGGGCACTGGAGATTGCCTACCTTTGGAGCAACTGGGGGAAAGGGGGGGGGGGGGCAATGGCCCTCATGACAGTCCAGCAGTATCGTTAGTGGCAGATCCAGAGGCGGCCTAGGGGGGGAGGCAAAGTAGCACTTTTTGCCTACCTTTCAGGCGGCTATGGGGTGTGCTATTGGGGGCGGGGCAAAACCCCTTTCACACCCCCTGTGCCCGCGGCTGTGGTTATTGAAGCAGCCTGTTGTCACAGTAGTTATGGAGCATTAAGAGTTAGTTTCGTTCGTAACGTTTCGAAAAGCGTTGCTACCTGTCTGTTTCAATCTTTAATCTTCGGAATAGGAGTCTCGTCAGAGGCGATCTCAGGGGAAGGGAGGGGGGTGGGGACACCAGAGGCATAGCCTGTCCCGTAAGATTTGGTACACCCTGAAGGTAGGCAAAGAGTTTGTCTTGGCCCTCTCTGAAACACAATTCTGGAGGCGCCTCGGAGTTGAGGGGAGAGAAGTGCCCTGCCGGAGCTTCCCTAGTTTTCGTAGTCGTGCGACGGGGGTTTGCGGATTGAAACAAGGGTTACAACGCAATTCACTCAGAAATTCCCTTTATTAGGAAATATAACTTGATGCATATACATTTGTACGTCATAAAGAAAACAAAAACAAAAAAGAGAACTAGACTACACCTAGGACTAGTGACTAAGAGATTCCCTTTATTAGGTAATTTAACTTGATACGTATACATTTGTAAGTCATAAAGAAAACAGAATAGAAATATACCTAGGACTAGTGACTAGTAACAGGATGGTCAAACAATGAAACATACATAAACTATGTACGTAAATACTTAGGAAACAAAAACAAATAGGAGAAGTAAGGACCAGAACACGTCCCAAAAACACAATTAAATTCTACTTCTTCCTCAATAAATCTTTAGTTACTTCTGCAAGGACGTCCGCGTTCGCGTTCAAGAACGCTACGTCGTCTATATGTTCAGCACTCAGGCCAAACCTCTGTGGACGCAAAATAAATTTCAATGCAGAAAACAGGCGCTCAACCGACACCTGAGTGGCGGGTATACACAGCACCACCATTGCCAGATCATGTAGCTGCGGGGACAGCAACTTCCTTTTCTTCCAGTACTCAAATACGTCGTCCGTGGCTGGAAGGGGTTTGGTGGTCCTGTCAACAGAAAAGAACCGTGTTAATATTCGTATAAAATATTTTATTAAGTTCCGCGATCTGCGCCGCTCCCGCCCCATCCCCACCCTGCACCCGCCCCGTCCCCGCAAGTGGGCCAGAAGACCGGTTGGGGCTATCACAACTCTAGACGCGTTTTGAGCTCGAGAGCCGCTAAACACGACCCGAACCGAGCGTGTGACCCCACCAATGGATTCCTCGTTCGGAGAGCAATCCATTGGAGGGGTCACACGTTCGGTTTGAGCGACTCTGGACTCTGGAGCTCAAACCGCGTCAGGAATTGTTGTCTGCACCGGTCTTCTGCCCCTCGCCCCGACTCTGCCCCGCGACTCGCCCCCCGGCGCGACTCGCCCCCGCGACCCACAGCCAAGTTCAAGGTCTCGCTGCGATTCTGTCTCCATCCTCCTCCACGGTTCCTCACCTGTCATACTCGTCCAGCAGTTTTAGAAGGGCGGTCCGCCTGATTCCGGCCGCGCTGCTTCCCCGGCGAGCTTCACCCGCCCCGGTCGCCGCAATCCGCTCTCTATTCTTCCTCTCTAGGAGCTTCTTGAACAGAGAGCTGCTGTCGTCGTCGCCGTCGTCGTCCACCACCATGCTGTCTTCATCCTCTTCCTCTTCCTCTTCCGGGAGGGCTTCTTCTACTTCGGGATTCGTCAGCTGGGTCATACGCTCGGCCAGGCTGACCAGGTACGTCTTGGCCGACTGGACTTGCTCCGGGGTGAGCAGAGACATATACCTCGGGTCGAGAAACACCGCCGCATCGAAGCCAGGGTAATGAAAGAGAGGGCTGACCTTGTCGCCCCTGGACCTGTCCACGTAAGGGACAGATTTTACCCTCTCATTCATGGCCTTGAACAGCCCTTGGGCCAGCGGGCTTTGCTGCTCTTCCAAGCTCATGGAGACGCCCGTCCAAATGGCGAAAAATTCACCGAGAGTGAGGTCTTCCCTCTGGAGCTTTATGGTCGCCTTCCTGGCTGGCTGCAGGTCGTTGAGGATAGCGTCGACCTGTTCCCACACCTCATCGCTGGGAAGGTACTTCTCTTTCTCAGTTTCGCTCCACTTGAGGCTGAGGGTGTGCTTCACATAGTTCTTCAGCATGACGACACTCTGCAGCATATCATAGGTACTTCCCCACCTAGTACAAACATCAAGCTTGGGCAGAGCCAGTCTTGGCCTCACGGCCTTGATTTGGCGCGCCTGTGAACAAAAAATGATAAATTTTAAATTAGAAACACAAATTTAAAGCATTTAAAAATACACGCTAATTTTTAAGTCAGTTTTCCCTCACCTGTGTTTCTTGGAGAAGAAACTTTGCAAGACTCCTGATCTCCCTGATGACAGCTAAAGCGGCTCCGTCGGCCTTCAGAGCGTCCTCTACGGCAAGGGAGAGCGTGTGCGCCGCACAGCGCACGCTCTGGAGGCTGAAGTCGTCCTCGACAAGCTCCACCCCCATGGGAACACCCATATCCCATCCACGTAGAATCTCTGTGGACAAGGTGGATACGACCACGTGGATTTATCCACCTGTTTTTAATATGTCATCAACGTTGAATTCAAAGCGAACAATCAATGTGGACTCGGACCCCTGGTTTCCGCGTTGATTACTTATGTGCAATTCTATGTAGATTGGAGGCCTTCTGTTCGATGTGTTTTGATGGGTGCACGATCGACGTGGATAAAAACATTCTCTATCCATGAGGTAATTCACAGGCATTCGGCGATGTGGAACACCACACTACGCATCCACGTTGACTCTCAGTTTCTCTTGAAATGTAGATCACACCGCGTTAGATCCACCGGGCGTTTTAGGTGGTTGAGGGACGTGGTTAGGGGCATGAAGTATCAATATGGTTGGATGGTGCCGGCCCGCATGTGGGCCATGTGAGACCTTTTCTACACGATCTCGATGTCGATCATAAGTATCCAAATTCATTGAAGCAAAGTCGTCTCTTCATGCCAGATTCATCTGAGTAGATTCGGACTTCCACGTGGATTGAATGAAGATGAGTGAAGACCTTCGAACTCGATTAGTTTTGAAAGCTGCCGACAGAGGGCCTACTGATACTCTTGTCATTCCTTATCCTCTCGGCCTGCTAGTAGGATGCCAATTCACCATATCCCAGAGCCATACCCCGACGTAGGGATGCAAAAATACCGGTAAGATTCAAAGTTACGTAAATTACGGTAAAATACGGTATTTAACCGTATTATACGGTAAAATTGGGTAAAATTGATTTTTCTTGACTTAAAGAAGTAACTGTGGTTCTTCTTGTGAAATAGGGGGAAAAGAGGTTCATTTGGGTGAGGGTGTATCATTAATCATCGGCCGCATCGTTCCAAACATGGTTGCAAACCATCATGACTCAAGGACAATGTCGCATATTTGAAATAGACAAGGACGAAAGACCCTGTGGGTCAAAAATATGAACTATTCTCCCACTAGACCCTCCCAAATTAATTTTGAATCTGACTGCTTTTCACTTATTCCTACGGGGCTGGATTAAGAAATGCGTAGAGCAGCAAAGTTAACAGCCCAAATATACTTAAGAATTAACAAAACGGGCGCCGTTTTTCTCGTAATCCAAGTAAGTTGTCTCAATTCCATGAAGAAACTTTTTTCCTTAAAGGCTGCAAGGTGTCCAACAACCATACCAATGTTCATTACACTTTTCAGCTCAAATTTCTAACAAATATCTACCCCTAGATTTACCTCTTTTCAATTTTAAGTTAGTTAAAATGATATGAACCTTGGCAACAAAGAAAGGTTTTTGATTTGCCTTTCGGAGATTTGGGTCGCGTAAATGGATTTTGATTTCCACAAGTTTTGCCAAAGAAGAGAACATTAACTTCACATAAATTTTAAGTGGCTAGACGTCTTACACGTACACGGGGTGGCACGAGGGGCAGATACAAACCAAGAGTTCAAAAGAAGCGCTATTTTCAGTCCGTACGTCCTGTCTAATCGTATGGAAGCTAAAGAAGTTCAAATAAGTCAATATTTCAAAATTACTGAAAAATACCAATTTTACCGGGGTCTCCGTAAAATACGGTATTTTACCGTATTATACCGTTCTTTACCGGTAATATTACCGGCCTTTACATCCCTACCCCGACGCACATCGGACAGCTCCAGGAGACGTTTCGTCGTCTTTGGAGGAAACGTTTCGATCGTTTTATTTTTAGACGTCCTCAGGGGATTTAAACTGAGGAGGACTTCCTAACAAAATTGTTAGGAATGACTGACTTAGGCCTCGATGTAACATCGATCGACACCCCCTATCTACAACCGCTCCCAGGCTGCCTGGCTGGGAACAACGGCGTAGCTGCCGGTCCGCTGGGGACAAGCGCTTAGCGGCCGCCTCGTCGCCAACAACCGCTCAGCTCCGGCCGCGCTCCCGACAACACCTTAGCTCGCGTGGGGCTGCGGAAAACCACTCAAGTGGCCTTTTGGACGTAATTTAGTTTTCAACCGATTTTGTTAGAACATTATCGTCTCTTCCACCTATCAAAATATGGAATCTCAAAACGGCTATGTTATTTTGCTAAGTCGGATTGAACTTTGACCTAACCTCAAACCTGGTCAGAGTCCTCCGGCATACAACCGCGTAGCGCCGCGCAGGTACTTCAAAACAGCGTAGCTACCCCTTCCCCATTCCGGCGTGCCCTGAGAGCGAAGCGGGTTGCAACAAGTTGCAAGAGAGAACATCGAAGAGGAGTTAGCCAGCCATGTCATGGCATCAAAAAGGTCAATGAAAATCTGCAGCATAGCTCAGAAGTCTTCAGCTGACGAGCATAATGGTAAAGTAGCTAGTTTTTATTTGATTAGTCGTTTGAAATTCAAGTTCTGTGGCAGTGTTAACCTAACTGCTGATATCATTTTATTTGAGATTTGGTTTGATAGACATTATTGCAAGGAATACCATCTAATTTTATTTTAAAAGTTGCTTTCAAACTTTTTCTGCTATGTCAGCAGGATGAATTGCTTTGTTCAGAAATATTTCATTCATGCCAGTACTTGTCGTACTCATGAGGTGATCATGGCTTCTTGTTGGCTTGTTTGGCTTTTCAGGACCGAAACCGAAGTCTCAACCTACTCAACCCCTTCGATTGGCTGACAGTTCCTCAAAGCGAGGTATGTATGTTGCAAGGGAGAAACTTTTTATTAGCTGTTCTGTTAAAATGGAAGTGACCTGCGCAGAATTATTTCGCAAGTCATAGAGTTGCTAAATCAACTAAGTAAACAACTGTTCATTTTTCTTCGCAGTTACCCAACTTATGTGATTTTGTGATTGTGAGTAGAGATCTGTCATTAAGTGTGGAATGCTTATGCTTTTTCAACATTCTCTCTAACAATGACAGCAAGCTTTGTCCATTGTTTTTAACGGGGCTTGGTTCCTGTCCATTCTTGAATAATTTCTGTCCTGTCAGTTATGCATACACAGTGTGAAGTGGTTTTTGTGAGTGTATACTTTTGCGTTGCTTTCCTGCAGTGATAAGGTTGCAAACTTGAGAGCTGAAGCAGAAAAGCGTTTCGTTCAAAAATGTTTAAAGTTTTTCCTTTCTTGAGACGCCAGGTGCCAGCTTGTGAAGCACCGAGTGTCAGCATGCTGCTTGTCTGCCTGCTCTTGCACTCACTGTTAAACAATAATTGGGGCTGTTTTTCTTTCTTTAACTAGTGCTGTATGTTTCTAGGATGCAACTCAAAGGTTTTGAATCCAAACCCAGAGCCACACAGAAAGAAGCTGAACTTCACGCCGCCCAAAAAGAGTGAGTATTTTCCTGGTGTCAGTCTGAGACAATCTGATACCTCAATGACTTATCATCAAATGAATCTTTGAAAGATATTTGCCAAAGTGCCTTTTGCTAATATTTTGACTAAGCAGCAAAGGTCTACAATTTTATTTAGGCCGAATATTTGTTGTAGTTTGAAACTAGCAAAGAGAGCAATGCCATTATTTTATAAATTTCATTTTTAAATTTATTTTATTCTGAATTAAATGCATTCAATTCCATTTGATGCACTCCAACGAGAAAGGATAATAATTAAACAATACATTGGTTCCTTCTCAGGTTTGTCTGCTCAAAGGGAACAGCATGGCCATCTCGTTTCCACCCAGAAGCCTGCAAGTGGAACGATTGATCTGGAACGGAGTAGACAGAGGGCAGGACTAGGTCATCTCAAAGCCACCTTGGAGTCTGAATGTGGAAACAGCAGGAGCTACCTTGCAGAAGATTCTCAAAGTGCCTCCTCACAACAAGCTCCTAAAGACTCCATCAAAGGTCTGCTGTTAACAATTTTATTTAGACTAAGTATTTTTTGCAGCCTGTAACTAGCAGTGACTTGAGAGCAATGCCACATTTTTTCATGGCAGAAAGTAGGTGATTCGCCATGTATTTTGTGTGGTCCCACTTGAATTGTAGGCAGAAAAGTTGCTAGTAGAGGAGAGTTTTCATATTACACTCTTCTTCAAATTTTATTTTTTTTCCCACTGCTTGCTTCTGATATGGGACCATACACATTACATGAAGAATAATCTGCTTTCTATTTTTAAAAAATGTGGTATTGTTCTGGTCACAGCTCTTCTCAAGCTGCTCAAAATGTTTGGTCTCATTATTTTTTTCTTTCTTGACCTCTGCCGCTTTCTTAAAATACCAGTCAATATTTTTTAAGAATATTGGCTACTATGCAGACAGAATTTTAAAACAAGGCGTTGGGTTTCTTTCCAGATTTTTCTAGCCTGAAGAAACCATCCGACCATAACAACACTATCTCGCCTGGAAGTGGCAGCGGTAATCAAGAAAAGACACGAATTGAATCTGGGGATCAGGACTTGAATGACTCAAACACAAGTAAGTTTATGCTCTGAATTATAGCTGACATTTACATAAATATGGATAATAATTAAACAATACATTGGTTCCTTCTCAGGCTTGTCTGCTCAAAGGGAACAGCATGGCCATCTCGTTTCCACCCAGAAGCCTGCAAGTGGAACGATTGATCTGGAACGGAGTAGACAGAGGGCAGGACTAGGTCATCTCAAAGCCACCTTGGAGTCTGAATGTGGAAACAGCAGGAGCTACCTTGCAGAAGATTCTCAAAGTGCCTCCTCACAACAAGCTCCTAAAGACTCCATCAAAGGTCTGCTGTTAACAATTTTATTTAGACTAAGTATTTTTTGCAGCCTGTAACTAGCAGTGACTTGAGAGCAATGCCACATTTTTTTCATGGCAGAAAGTAGGTGATTCGCCATGTATTTTGTGTGGTCCCACTTGAATTGTAGGCAGAAAAGTTGCTAGTAGAGAAGAGTTTTCATATTACACTCTTCTTTAAATTTTCTTTTTTTCCCCACTGCTAGCTATTGATATGGGACCATACACATTACATGAAGAATAATCTGCTTTCTATTTTTTTAAAATGTGGTATTGTTCTAGTCACAGCTCTTCACAAGCTGCTCAAAATGTTGGTCTCATTATTTTTTTCTTTCTAGACCTCTGCCGCTTTCTTAAAATACCAGTGGCCTAGTCAATATTTTTAAGTGTATTGACAACTTTGTGGATTGATTTTTTAAACAAGGTGTTGGCTTTCTTTCCAGATTTTTCTAGCCTGAAGAAACCAATTGACCATCCCAACAACACTATCTTGCCTGGAAGCGGCAGCGGTAATCTTCAAGGAAAGACACAAATTGAATCTGGGGATCTGGACTTGGATGACTCAAACACAAGTAAGCTGATTTAATTTTTTATTAGAACGCATTGAATACCATCTATACACTTACAGCAACAAGTATAATAATTAAATAATACATTGGTTCTTCTTCAGGCTTGTCTGCTCAAAGGGAACAGCATGACCATCTTACCACCCGGACTGCAAGTGGAGCAATTAATCTGGAACGGAGTGGACAGGGGGTGGGATATGATCATCTCAATGGTGCCTTGGAGTCTAAATGTGGAAACAGCAGGAGCAACCTTGAAGAAGACTCTCAAATTGACTCTGCACAACAAGCTCCTATTGACTTCACTAAAGGTAACATTCTATTAAAAACATTAATTTTTTTTAAATATTGTGTCTTTTAAACTTTTGATTGATATCACTAAGTATGCATCAAACCTAAGGCAGAGTTTCAGATAGGTTAAAAACAGATTTCCTCGCTCAATCCCTCAATATTAAAATGTGGAGACAAATAATTGTCTCGAGAGGAATCCTCTCAAGTCAAGGCATGTAGAAAATTATTTGTGAATAAGAAGTTCATTGGGACTTAGGTAATATATTTTATTTCATAATTAAAAATCAGACTCATTACTCTCTTATTTGAAGGCAGCCCTGATCAAAACTTTTAGGCTTACAACTGTTTCCTCATTTTTCCGAGTTTTTCTTTATTCAATGATCCTAATATAGTTTAGACGGGTGTTTTCATTCATTGATGAGGGTCGTGTGAGAAACATAGAAACAAATATGGTCATACTGGTGGCGTCTTCTATTTTACTCAGTTATCTATTTGAAAATTTTATCCTAGTATTGATTTTTTTTTTTCAGATCTACCAGAACTTGTTCACGATGATGATCCTCTCAACACTAGCTTGGAGACAAGTTTTACAGATTTGTTGAAGCCAAATGAGAAGAACGCCTGGGAAGGTTTGTATTCCTGGCCTGCACTTGAAATAATGGTTCTAATTTGCTATAGCTCATTTTCTCTTTCTATTCTTGACTGCGCAGATGATATTTCTTCAGTAACAGTGCTGGGAATTCAGACTGAAAGTGGTATGAATGCTTCTTTTTCCTCTCCCTTCAGTTTCTTAGTCAAACAAGTTTGCATCAGCTGTCTCATCTGGTGTTCAAAGTTAAAAAATATTTTGTGTCTTCCAGGATTTTCCTTTTCTTCTGGTGAACTTCAAGTGGATTCTTCACCTATAATCACTGATGCAATTTTTGAGTGTCTAAGTCCTGAAACACCTTCTTCTCAAATTGTTCTGGAAGTAAGGGAAGCACCTGTTGAAAATTTAGATACTAGTACAGCTGGTAAGATTCATTTGTGCTCATGTAATAGTGCAGTTAGATTTTTCTTCATTATAGTACAGTTAGATTTTTTCTTCATTTTACTTATATTTTTTCCTCTTAGATCATGATATCTCTATTGACTCCACTCCTGAATCACGGAAGAGAACCAGGTCTGCGACACCAAGATCTGGCAGTCCTGTTCGAAAGCGTTCGAGGAATTCGGCTCTATGGAAAACTAATATTAGAAAGACAGCAGCTAACTCTGGCCAAGAATATGTGTCTGCAAGGGGGAAGTTAGTGAAAGCAAGACAAATGAGACTACCCTGCTCATGCAAATTGGATTGTGTACATAGACTATCTGAAGAACAACGGAAAAAAGTTTTTGATACATTTTGGCAATTGGCAAGCCATGACCGGCAGTGGGAATTCATTCGAAACTTTTCTGTGAACAAACCCACTAAGGGTAAGGATGACCAAGAACCCAAAAAAAGAAAATGTTCTCGCTCATATTTTTTTGAAGTTGATGGTGAAACCATAACTGTTTGCAAGAAAATGTTCATGTGTACCTTAGATATCTGGGATGGATGGATTGATAGCGCTTACAGCCATGTAAACCCTCAGAAAGGAAAAGTGGCAACACCAGACAAAAGGGGTCGCCATGCAAACCATCCCAAAGTTATTACTCCAGAAAAAATTAAAACGGTCACAGAACATGTAGCAGAGTTTCCAAGAGTACCATCGCACTATTGCAGGGCAAGTACTAAACGTGAGTATTTACAAAGAGGTCTGAGTCTGAGAAAAATGGCAAAATTGTATCAGAGCTGGGCTGAGTCTAAAAATCTTCCCCATGCATCAAGAGCTACTATAAGACAATATATAGACATTGTAAATTTGCATTTCAACTTGGGTTTTTTTAAACCAAAAAAAGACCAGTGTAAACTGTGTGTCTTCATGGGAAGCAAACACAACACTCCAAGATTGAAAGCTCAATACAAAGATATCTATGCTACCCATATCAAGAACAAACAGAGGGTGAAAAAAATTAAAGAGCAAGACAAGGCTGCTGCTGAGAAAGATAGAACAATTGCCCTTTGCTCTTTTGATTTACAGAAGCAACTCAATCTGCCTCATTCTCAGGCTTCACCCTTTTATTATCACAGTAAGCTAACTCTGTACAACTTCACTGTGTTCCATTCTATCAAGAGGCTTGGGTGCTGTTTTTTGTGGCATGAGGGAATGGCAAAGAAAGGATCCAATGAAATTTCAAGTTCTCTTCTCTACTACATTTCTGAACTTGTAAAGGAAGGCTACAAAGAGTTAATTTTTTACTCTGATAACTGTGGAGGACAGAACAAGAACCGCTTCATTTTCAGTATGTTACAGTTGGCTGCAGTTCGTTATTCGGTGAAAATCACTCACAGGTTTCTAGAAACTGGACACACCATGATGGAAGTTGATTCCATCCATGCCAGAATTGAAAATTCGACTGAGTTTTCTGAACTGTTTGATTTTGATGATTGGATTAAGGCCATCGAGGATGCAAAAGAAGAGTTGCCGAAATATGAAGTGATACCCTTTAAGAAAGGGTTTGTTCGCACTTTCAAACCTTTAGTGGAGACCCTGCAAACTTGGGAAAAAGATATGAAAGGTAACAAAATACAATGGCAAAAGGTGAAAGAAATTTGCATCAATGGAGCAGAGGGCAACAAGGTACACTTAAAGTATGATTATGATGGTGAGACGGTAACTCTTAATCCGAACAAGCCTGGACGACCGGTTAATTTGAAGACTTACCAGCCACCCCAAGCCTATGAGGGGGCAATTCCCTTACCTGCATCCACCATTGCGGGCATAAAAAAATTTTGTAAAGAAAAAGACATTCCAGAATTGAAGCAGCCTTTTTATGATGATGTCTTAGCTGGGTGTTGGCCAACGGATGAAGATGCTGCTTCAGATGTTGAGGATGATCCCATGGAAGCTCTCTGTGTTGGTGACGCACTGGAAGAAGAGACTAATAAGGGTGAGGGAGATAGAGAAGAAGAAGATGAGGAACGTGCTGAAGATGAAGATGATGAAGATGATTACGATTGAATTGTTTCATTGGTGTGCTTTCTTTCATCATACTATTTTTCATGAACCATCATGCTGTGCATGCGCATGGAATAGAATGTGCAATAATTTTTTTTTGTGTGTCTCTTAAAAGAAAGCGTTTGACTCATGACTATTTGATGATCTCCAAATTCCAAAGATTTCTTTAGATTTTAAGTTGAATGTTTGGTCTTAGGCATGTTACCTCATGTCATCTCAAGACTGATCCTTTTAAGGTAATGACTCATTGTATGTTATTTCATCTCATGGCTTACTGATGACAGATTTGAAATTTGTAACTTTAATTGTTCTTTTATGTGCCATAATTTAGAAAACTGATTATGTAAGTGTTTTGCTTTGAATATAAATATTTTATTCATGAAACATGTCCCACCTTTCATGTTGAACCCTCCATTTAAATATTCATCTAACTTTTATTTTACTGTCAAACTAACTGTTGTTTTAATCACAATGATGTCGAAGACCAGAGGCTCACTTTATTCAGTGGCTTCTCGTACTGATCATGATAACGTATGAAATGAACCACCATTGACACACATTTACCGAAGTTAATTTATTTTGGACACTTAATTTATCTTTAAACCAACACACCATTTTAGACAACACAAGATATGACGCGCGAACAAAGAAAAAGTGATGCCATTATTAAGCTACACCAAAGTAAAAGAACACTAAAGTACAAGACAAGGAATAAGATTATAAAATGGAAACAGGCAAGAAACATTCTTCTATAGAACACAGCTGATACCACCAAACATAATAACACAAAGATCATATCAAGTTGACAAAAAGTTCCGGCTTCTTTTCTCTTAACTGGGTTGAACAGAACATTAATTTTTGCTTCGCACTTTAAATAAATTTCTTCTTTTTTCAACCAGCATCCATTGAGAGATTAATAACAATACTCTGGATAGAAAGTTTACCATTTATGCATGTCTTCATGAAAATAAATCATCGGTGAGGATGAGTTAACCTGCAATTATAAACACAGCATTAAATCCACCAATCTAGTAATTCTGGGATATGATAGTGTTGCAGATAACTTCGTTTCTTTATGCCCTTTTTTCAGTTTCATCAGCACATAATCAGGGCAAGTTATAAGAAATAATGTTGTAAACAGTGCTAGTTGGGGAGCAGTCAACCCAACAGCTTGTATATTTTGATTCAACTTACCTCTAAAATTGACAATTGGGCATTAGCAGACATCCGATTCTGTAGAGTAAAGTATAGGCTATCGTTTAAACCTATCGGCATTGTTGATAAATAAACCCTCGAGTTGTCCTCAGGTGTGAAACTTTCATTTCACTGCTACCGAAAATCAGCCTGGAGACACTTGAGTGGTTTTCCGCAGCCCCACGCGAGCTAAGGTGTTGTCGGGAGCGCGGCCGGAGCTGAGCGGTTGTTGGCGACGAGGCGGCCGCTAAGCGCTTGTCCCCAGCGGACCGGCAGCTACGCCGTTGTTCCCAGCCAGGCAGCCTGGGAGCGGTTGTAGATAGGGGGTGTCGCGATGGTAGGTGGATAAGGCGAGTTGGGGTAAGGGATGTCCCCATGGGCAGCAGATGGTCGCTGAAGAATCAACATCGATGTGATGGGGATCGAGAATTTTCTGATATGGATTCTATGTGGATAGCAGGTTTAAGAGTTCCTATCAAATCGACATATCTATCTCTTATCCACGTGGAAATTACATTTCGATATGTCTGGATCCACGTGGAATCCACCTATACTCGAGTAGCATCCACGTCGTTCCTCCACATCGATTCCACGTGAATTCGATGTGGGTGTTCCCATGGGGACAGTGGCATCAATCCATTCATCATAGTTGTTGTAGTCTGGCTCCACACTCTCAGCTTCAGTCAAAAGCTTGCCCGCCAAAACGTAGTTGGCACCACTGTCAGTGGTAAAAGAAACAATCTGTTTTGTTCTTATACCAAATCTCTTCAGAACAATTTCGACTAATGTGCGGAGATTCGAAGCTGTAGCAGCTACCAAAAGCTCTTCAACAGCCAGAGTCCGAATGATAGGTTTGGAATCAGGTCCCGTATACTGGATATTGACGCCTACGAAGTGCCTGTTTTGCCTTGTGCATCCATCAACTTTGACCGATACCATTTTCCCCCGCACCTCCTCTATTATCTTCTGGCGCGTTAGGTTAGCAGTCTTCTCAATTTTAGGTGGAATTGACCTAGAATTGATGGCGGCCCTGCAACAAAATTGTGAAAAGAAAGTTAGCGACAATTCGACCGATTTTCAAAAAACTTCTCATTGTAATTTTAAACTCAACCACAAGAAAGAACTTTATAACAAAGGACGTGCCCCGAAGGACATGCTCCGAAAACGCGTCATCGCCAAACAAAAAAAAATGTGCTCTTACCCTTCAGGCATTGCTTTCAGCATGGGGCTGATAATATCCTGAAATGCAGGATAGTCGAGAACCCTGAAGGCCAATGCATTTTCCGTCACTAGTCTCAAGCAGTTCACCTGCAATGCAGGCAGGGACATTTTGACTCCATTTAGTGAGGTACAAGGCACAGTTTTCTTTTTCTTTGGCGCTGCTCTGTTCTTCTCGTGTTCCGCCTCCACATTCTTGTGCGTTTCACGATGATGTGACCTCAGATGTTCCATCAAATTGCGAGCATGGTGACCCTGTAACATGACCACAGTAAATGTAAAACTATCGCAAAAGGTTACTTTTCTTTTACATTAGCATTTCAGTAACGTCACATCATTTGAAATGCAAACCGAAACAAATTATTTTTAAAGAAAATCAGTCCGCTGGAGCTGGCAGACTAATTAGACAGTCGATTTTGGGCTCCCTCTCTCTCTCTCTCTCTCTCTCTCTCGCACTCATGGGGCGTCCTGTACAGGCGCGAGAGAGACAGAGCGATGAAAACGACTCTCGCAACCAGATTTCCAGCAGACTGATTCCGACAGTCGTTTTCGTCGCTCTCTCTCTCTCTCTCTCTCTCTCTCGCACTCATGGGGCGTCCTGTACAGGCGCGAGAGAGACAGAGCGATGAAAACAACTCTCGCAATCAGATTTCCAGCAGACTGATTCCGACAGTCGTTTTCGTCGCTCTCTCTCTCTCGCACTCATGGGGCGTCCCCTACAGGCGCGAGAGAGACAGAGCGATGAAAACGACTCTCGCAACCAGATTTCCAGCAGACTGATTCCGACAGTCGTTTTCGTCGCTCTCTCTCTCTCTCTCTCTCGCACTCATGGGGCGTCCTGTACAGGCGCGAGAGAGACAGAGCGATGACAACGACTCTCGCAATCAGATTTCCAGCAGACTGATTCCGACAGTCGTTTTCGTCGCTCTCTCTCTCTCTCTCTCTCTCTCGCACTCATGGGGCGTCCTGTACAGGCGCGAGAGAGACAGAGCGACGAAAACAACTCTCGCAATCAGATTTCCAGCAGACTGATTCCGACAGTCGTTTTCGTCGCTCTCTCTCTCTCGCACTCATGGGGCGTCCCCTACAGGCGCGAGAGAGACAGAGCGATGAAAACGACTCTCGCAATCAGATTTCCAGCAGACTGATTCGGATAGTTATTTTCGTCGCTCCGTCTCTCTCGCACATGGGCAATTCTCCGCCAGACCGTCGCCCCCCCCCCCCCCCCGAAATCGACGGTGGTGAAATTGGCCCAAGTAGGTGTCGTTAATCCACTCAGGATGGTTTCCTGGGTCACCCTGCAATATTTTTATTGCCCTACTCCAAACCGTTTAGGTTTTATAGCAATTTGAAAGTTTTGTCAACTTTGAATGTAGCAATCCTTGGCCACTTGGCATTTGTTGCCAGCAGACAGGGACCAGCCAGGTTTTATTGGCTTCACAAAAGACTACTCTATCCATAAACATATAACTCGCGCTGCTCGCTGGGGGCTCCGCCCCCAGACCCCCGCATGTGTGGAGCGCGTGCCGAAGTATTTTCAGTAAGTCCGTGGTGAGCAAAGGCAAATTTTCTAAGGAAGTAAATGTCCTGCTTCTTTGAAAGCTCTATTTAACCGCTTTTGACCATATAATAAGGCTACTTTTACTGCCCAAATAGATAGCTTGTATTGCATTGGCTACTGTGGCAGTCAATGGGTGCATACAAGGTCCGGAAAATATTGAAGACTGCTTTGACAAGGATAGAGGTGAAAGGAAAAAAACCTTAAGTCTCTACGACCACTCCTCGACCCCAAACATTTCTTTGAGTGAGTAAGTGAGTCAGTCAGTCAGTCGGATTGGGGCTATATAGATTCTTGAAGATGATTGCCCAATTGCCGGTGGCGGGGTCCCGATTACGGCACAGTTTCGGAAATTCTCGACCAGACCTACCGATGGGGCGAATAAAATTTTTTAGTCATTCGGTCCCCTTTTTGGAAGATTGAGTAGCTTTGCTCGGAAACAGTGAGAAATTTTCAACTTTTGAGATTTTTCCCAATTTTCCCATTAAATTTGGAATCGAATGGAAAAACCCGCAGGTCTCTACGACCACTCCTTGACCCCCAACATTTCTATGAGTGAGTGAGTCAGTCAGTCGGATTGGGGCTATATGGGTTCTTGATGATTGATGAGTGAGGAAGTCAGTCAGTCATATTTTGGGGCTTATAGGTTCTTGATGACAATTGATGATTGATTTTGAGTATGTTGCCGGTGACGGGGACCCGATTGTGGCACAGTTTCTGAAATGTCTCGACTTGATTTACCGATGGGGAGAATAAAAATTTTTAGTCGGTCGGTCCCCTTTTTTGAAGATTGAGTGGACTTTGTTAAATTTAGGCCTATTTAATTGTTTTTGAGGATGTTGCCGGTGACAAAAACCCGATTGCGGCACAGTTTCGGAAATGTCTCGACCAGACCTACCGATAGGGCGAATAAAAATTATTAGTCGGTCGGTCCCCTTTTTTGAAGATTGAGTGGACTTTGTTAAATTTAGGCCTATTTAATCGTTTTTTAGGATGTTGCCGGTGACCAGGACCCGATTGCGGCACAGTTCCAGAAACCGCTCGACCAGACCTACCGATGGGGCGAAAAAAAATTTTTAGTCGGTCGGTCCCCTTTTTTGAAGATTGAGTGGACTTTGATAAATTTAGGCCTATTTAAT